TACCACATCTGCACTGCAGATGTTCTTAAGACCGCACAGCATTAAGGACTCTCAAGTACGCAGATCCACTGCCATGAAGGGCTTTATGGGTGGTAAGTAGGATCTTGAAGCGCACCCGGAGATCAACAGGTAGCCAGCGCAGCTCGTGGAGGATTGTCAATTTAGTCTCTTGAAGGCTTCTCCAACATAGTCAGTGCCTTCTGGACCAAACATTATAGATAACCAACATTTTAATTGTATGTATTTTCATTCAGACTTTTTAGTATATTGTATGCCTTTTCTAAATTTTCAAATATTGTTTAAGCTATCATTACTTAATTGTTGATTAAGAATTATAATTCTACTATGAACCCAAGCTTTCAACAACAAAATAGCAATTTTTAAAGAAGAATTACTCCAAAGTATCAATTTCTTTTTGAGAAGAAAAATCAATTTTTTATTTTCTGTTCTATAAAGCTCATATATGTCTAATGGCTTTCAATGCTGGAAAAGTAATTGAATTCCTAATATAATGCAATCAAGACTTTGCCAAAATTGCAAGGATGCTAAATAATAACTCTCAAGCTGGATCTGCAATTGTGCAGCTTAAATATTGTTTCCACTCCAATGCATGATGAATTAATCAATAAAGTCAATTACCTTTGTTGTGAGCCGCCCAGAGTCCCAAGGGAGTGGGTGGCATACAAATCTTAAAGTTGAAAGATAAAATCAGGAAAATTAAAATCACCATAATTGTAGAAAAGAGCTCTTGTTCCATTAAAATTAACTATTAACTAGCCAATATTTTTTTAAAAAATATTTAAATGAAACCAAGAGTGTGTTTAGAGTTAGACCAGATTGGTCACTGCTTTTACTCGCCTTGCCTGCTAGAGAGGGATGAAGTAGGGTGGATCTTTGCTTATTGCATTTCGTAAGGCAATGAAAAATCACAACTTGCTCCTTATGCTTGCTGCGCTCACAAACCAAACCTATAGATTTCTCTCAACCTAGTTTCCCCCAGTCTGGGGTTCAGTGTGCTTTGGAGGATCATTTCCCATGAACCCACATCAAGGAACAAATGAAGTACACCCAAGGGAGAGAGGGAATTCTTCTGGCCTTGTTCCAGTATTGAGGGCCACATCAGAATTTGACCTTGGGGTGGTGGTGGTGGCATGGGGCATGGACAGGGTGGGCATGGACAGTTCGACATTAGTTGTGTTGGGGGTGCCTGTGGTGGCCCTAGTGTTCTGCCAAAGAAAACAGGCTCCCGAGCTCCGTTTTCAGCTGTGCAGCCTCCTACAATCCTCTGCCAGCAAAAACAGAGCTCAGGAGGGCCACATGCAGTCCTCCTGAGCTCCATTTTCACTGACAGAGGCACCGAGGACCGGTCCTTTGGTCTTTCTAAGGCGGGCCCGCAGGCCAGATCTAAGAACCCTGAGCTGGATCCAGCCTATGGGCCTTGAATTTTGACACCCCCAGACTAAATAAGTCTTCCTCAGCCATGGCAACTTGAAGATGTGTGAACTTCAACTTCCAGGATTCTCTAGCCTGTATCAATCTGCCAAGGTTGAGAAATTCTGAATTAGACACCAATTTCTCTGTTCTGCACAGTTTCTTGCCACTCTCCTTTCTTCTACATGTCCAGGTGGAGGTCTCCTTCACCACTCAATATATTCCTGCTAGGAACATTTCAGGTTCGGTATAGGTGACTGCTGTTAGCTTAGATGGGACTGAACCAATACTCTGGTCTCTGATTCTGTTCCATTCCACAGATTCCTGCACTCATTTTCTTTTGTTTCTCATGACACCATTTTCCTTGTTTCCTCCCCCTCCTTTCCCCTAATTATTTTAGTTCCATTTGTCTGCAAGTATTAGAGTTGATAAACAAGCTGGAACATGAATGTAATACAGAAAAAAATGCAGTTCTGTTCAATAGGATATGAAATTAAAGCAATGTAACAAATATAGGAAACCCCCAGCAGGTTATATCGCTACTATCTGGAGTCCTATGATTTTCTTCAATACATGGAAACAGCGAAATTGTGCTCACAAATCTTAAATTAACCAAAGTAAAACTACCCCCCTCCCAAATAAAATAAAATAAAGAACCAGATCAAAAGGAAACATTTAAAGATGAGCAGAGCAGAAGTAAAAAAGATGAAGCACAAAATAGTGCAACCAGAACCCAAGTTAAACACAGCACAACACACAAGTAGAACACACACACTTCCCATCGCATTATATGGATTTGCCCAGTTAAGCAGAGGTATTGATGGACCAGGGGTGGGTTCCTGCCAGTTCTAACCTCTTCTATAGAAGAGGTTCTGTTGCAGCAGATTGAGGTTTGTAATCTACTTACGAAAGACCAGGACTTGATACCACGAAGGTGAGAGAAACAGGTTT